GCTAAACCCGTGCCCGTGGGGATTTCCGTTGATCTCCGTACCAAACAATTGGCAACAGCTGCTCTGCGCACGCCTGCGCTCCGCCAGGTGGCCCTGCGCCCACCGCCGCTTCGGGAGCCTGCGCAGCCGGCACAGCCAGTATGTGGAAGCAAAGTTACTAGATGCCCACGGACACACCGTAGGTTAGGTTAAAAAAAAAAACTTAAATCGTTAAATCTATGCTGCTATAGGGGTTCCTTCTGATCAGCCCTTCGTCTGCCTCGGCTTGGTTATAAGCTGCCTCTCCCCTCCCCCGCCGCTCCGGGGGCTTCCGCATCCGGCGAGATACTACGCTACGTCAGCCGAGGTTGTTGTAGGCTAGGTTAGGTTGGGTCAAGTTATGTTGTGGGTCAAGTTATGTTGTATAGCTGGATCCCTGTAGATTAGGTTGCTTGCCCGTTGTTGGCCCAGGTTGCAAACATTATATTTTTTGCTCAGTTTTCTATCCCGGGTGAGTTAGGTTTGCCATGCACAGTCATCCAAAACGAGGCGCTGGGCGCCGGGTACCCGGCACTGGGAACCTGGTGCCGGGTACCTGGGGATGCGAGTTTCTAAATAATCTACATGCATGCTCGGGTCTTTCGCTTTTAGCCTGTGCATTTGAGAAATTTCCAAGCAAAAGCCTCGGGGGACTATGATAAAATTGTGCAACTCTAGCTGTCCTGAGGGATACTTCGGAGGAAGCCATAGGATGAAATTATTAAGGGTTTTGGGTTCAAGGTTTTAGGGTTTAGGGTTTTGGGATTTTTGTTTAGGGTTTCGGGAAACGTCCTCGGACGATCGTCCTACCGGACGACCGTCCGAGCGGACGTGATCCCCGGACGTGAGTCCTATCGGACTCACGTCCTGGCGACCTATCGGTCCACTTGTCCGGGCTGTTGGCATCAGATATCCCAAGGATCAACCTAGTTGTAATGACAACAGAGGACAAGGCAAAAGTCAAAAATTATCTCCAACAACTTCCAAGGTTGGATTGGGTTAGATAAAGGTTTTGTTAGATGTTGTAGTCGGCAGGGTAATGTTAACACTAGGGGGTTTGGTCTGGCAAGAACGAGCGGCAAGAATCGTGGCAAAAGCTCGGGTCAGAATCGATGCTGTAGGGGCGACTTATTATTAGCGGGGTTAATGAGTTTCAATAGGGTCTTTCAAAGGCTTACATATCATGGCAGGCTAGATAAAGTAGCTGAGTCCGCGGCCTGTTCGCACCAGCGATTGGGAGCAGTGAATGGAATGAACGAAGATTGTTTACTGATGAAGGCCCCGTCTGAACTGAGCTAAGACTCACCTCGCGAACCCCAGATCAGATGATACGAACACTTCTTTCCAGCTCGCTTGTCGATCACATCAGCCTTGCTGCACAGCAAAGTAGACGGCAGCTCCGCAGGGCTGCAAAAAAATCTTCACTTCAAGCACTTCAAAAGTCACTCCAAACCCATCTCGACTTCAACATCGGACGGATTGTCTGGATCTGGCTCTTCCTCGGACATGCATTCCTTGCATCCCTCTAGCATCTCGAGCGTGGTCGCTTGGCTGGTCGGAGTGGGAACATGTCCTTGGCGCCAGTGCGCCCGAGAGCGTCCGAAATCACCATACATCAAGACCTCGGATTTGATTTCGATCTCCGAACTATCTTTCCATCTTTGGCAAGCCGAGTGCAAGTCAGTTTCATGACAAGGGTCGGCCAACATGAGCGAGCCGATGACTGGCACGCTCATGCAGTTGCCTGATCATTTGCATTGTTGAATGCAGCGAATCACCCCCCCTTCCAGAGCCTGCCAGCAACGGCCACAGCTTCGGCTTCGTCATGCCATGGAAGTTGAGCTCCTGCACTTTGAAGCCTTGCCTGAAATCATGCTGCAGTATCTAGCCGGACCATGCATGACACAACAATCTCAAACTTGCTTGCATAATTGCCAAAACAAAGCTGCGACCCCAGGAGATCGACACCATTCAAAATCTTCTTCCGCCCGTAGTGATAGATGAGGCTGTTCGTCGTCAACCTCGGGTATCATTGCCATCGACTGCACATCAATGTACAGGTGTTCGGCCAAGAGACGCCGGCAAGAGCCCATCTGCTCGGTACGAGGCCCGCTCGAAAGACTTCGCCAAGTCGAGCACCAGCTTTGATGTGTTCCACTCCAAAGCCCTCGCTTTCCAAAACACCACCACCAACATGACTTCCTGGCGCTTCGTCACCGTCCGGCGCCACACATCTTGTCCTGTTGCGATCTTGGCGTCTGTCAAGCACCTGCACTACAGACTCGAAGTACAAGCCCAAACCTTCAGAGAGGATTAGTTACTGCCTTACTGCAGCTGTTGATGTTTGTAATACGATGCCAAGGCCCCGACTGATAAAATTCTGCGTCGGTCAAGTGGCGCAACGCCACGGATGACCGCATCTCCTTCAGGGTCTCCATGAGCTTGTCGGAGACGCTTTGCGCGGCGAGCTTCTGGGGAGGAAGCTCCTGCAATGTTGTCACATCATAATATGATTCGTATTTTCACATGAAGCTTCGCACTCATATGATATGACTGCACTCACACCATCCGCTTGTTGGCTCCACTGTCTGCGCCGTAAGCGCTCGCGGTTTCTGGTTGGTGAAGTATGCTCCACTGGCCTGTGCATTGCCCTAGGACGCATATATTCACAATGCTGTCACAACATCACATCAGCATCTACTGATGTAGTGACTTAATTTGAACTTGCTACAAACTCGTGGCATTGCCACGTCGCTGTCGATGCACAGTCGCATCGAAACCAACTCGGCAGCGGCATATGAAATAGTATCGCTCCCGACTACACCTGCTCGGCCACGATTATTGGATAGGCTATATGCTAGAATATATACATACAGCATACATAATAAATTTCTACTGCTACTGCTTCTACGACTTCTACGCAAGCTACGCAACTACATGGTTCGACTGAGTTCGACTGCACAACGACATCTGGCAACAACAAACCCTTGCACAACAAAGTTCCGGATTTGGTGCTAAACTGGTGGCCGGCATTATGGTACTGAGCACTGATACAAAGGTGCACAGTCACTCTGTTTCTGGTTTGGGAGACCTCGTTCCAAGGCTCTATAGTTGCAGCATAGTTAGAGTGACTGTGCACCGATCAGTGGCCAAATGAAATGCGAAAATGATGTGCTCACTGCTGTGCAGTCTTCGCCCTCTTCCTTGGAGAAGCGCTGGGCGGGGGCATGTCAAGCTTGCCTTTGGCGTCCTGCACAAACTAGAAAGTCAAAGCCTAGTAGCTTAGAGACTTAGAGAGCCACTTAGAGCATTTAGACTTAGTTTATTTTCCCTCGCTGCCTTTGCACACTTGTCGATGCGGTCAATCAAATGCTTGGGCAAATCCTTCTTCGGCATGTGCAGCTCAGATCCACAGAATTTGTAAAAGCCCGTGACATTGGCAAGGATCTGATTCGGAGGGGCAGCCTCTGAAACCATTGCACGATGCAAGTCCACTGCCATCATGTAAGCCGCAACCTTGAAGCAATCAGCCGCTCGAGGTGGTGCATTCCTGGCCTGCTTCAGCAGGCCCCAGTCTGTCTCGAGGTGCTTCTGCAACAGTGGCTGATCTGCCCAAGTCGTAATGGCCTCGGCCCCCACTTCCGTCTGGTACATGCGCCCGGCACCTCATTGTTTGAGAAAAACAAAGAACTCTGAGAACTGAGAACTAAAGTGTCTGGAGTCTAGACTGGAACTACAATCAGACTCAAACTCAGACTCTAGACACCTTGATTAAACTGGAGTAGATTAGATGATCTTATCATTCTCTATAACTTATTTTTTTCACGTCTAGGTCTAGACCACACTTCAACAGCTGAGCCCGAAACCGTCGAGCATGTTGTCCATGGATGCTTTGGCATTGGAGGCCTCGGGCACCTTTGCAAGGATGGCCTTAATTTTATCGTCGTCCCATGTCTCCACACACGCGACGATGCCGTTGTAGTCCTCGTAGTACTTCTTGATGTCGTCCTTGGCCTTGCACATCTCGGCTGTCAAGCCTTTCATAATCCATGCCAGCTGCGCCCTGGCACGATCCTGGTATTTATGAACATCGTGCAACCCGGCCTCAGACAATTCCTCCAAATCAATCGTGTGCATCTGCGTGAAATGAAGGGCCGTTTTGACAACTGCTTCCTTCTCGAGATCCAGAGGGCCTGGCTGCCGTGACAGCCCCGTTTCATCGACCTCAGCCTCCTGGCGGGTGGCATCCTGCACGATCTGGACAGAGCGCCAGAGCTTGCCAGCCCTGGTGTCAAGAATGTGGAACACACTGGCATCCAACTTCTCAAGCTCCGAACGCATGTCTTTGCCAAGCAACTCCTTCAACCACGTCACCTGCAAATCCTGTCTGTGGCTCTGGTCCAGCAAATCAACAAGTCGTTGGGCGGCTTTGCAAAGTTGGCCGGCGGCCTCATTTGGCCCCGTCGCCGCTGGCCCCTCCGAGACGCGCGTGATTTGAAGCTTCAGGTCTGCAACCCTTGATGAACAGGCTAGCTTGTTCATGGCACGAACGGCAACAGCAAACGTCTCCGGGGCGAGCTTCTTGAATGCATCCATGACGGAGCTGTGGGCAACTAGAATCTCACCCAGGAGGCCTTCTGTGCAAACAAACAACTGCTCTGCGGCAGGCAAGACCTGACAACAACATGTGGCACGCAAGACGACAACGGACCAAGACACTATGTAAAGACAAATCGGCTGCTGGCCTGAAAAGTGGTCATCCACCTGCCCAAGCAGGCTAACTTCTTGACGCTGAGATCGGCAACCTGCGTCGGTAGTGAAGATTTCCAGAACGTTGCCGCGGAGCCCGGCAACGTCGAAGTCGCAGACTGGATCGCATCGAGGAGCACTTTATTCCCGCATGCACGAACCAACGTCTCCTAAGATGCAGTAAATCTAAAGTGGCAAGCTGTTGCAGATGACGACAAACATGACGCAACAGAATGTGAGGCTGCTTCTTCCAGCAATGGCAAGAGTCAACCGAATTCACAGCTTGCTTCAGGGCTGCAGCTTTGTCCGCGGACACTTCGGGAACCTGTGGCATCACCTTCAAAGACTCCGACGCTGCGATCGCTCTGTCCAGCTTCGCGGCAGGGTCCTGCGCCAGTGAAACAACAATCTGTTCCTAGTTCCTAGCAAGGTTCAACAATCAACAATCGATGTTCGCAGAAGCACATCATATCCTCCTCCAGCAATGGTATGATCGACGAAGTTTGCACAGCTACATCAAGGGCATCCTGGGGCAGCTCATCTGCTGCACCATTCACTTCAGTCGCCACGCTGGCCGGGGAGAGCGCCCGCTTGCTGGCCTGCTCCATGAGAGCCCAAAGCTGCCTGAACCGATGTCGTTGCAAGCGAAGGAACGAAGCAACAAACGAACAACTCAGTGGATTTCCGGTGGTTCACTAAAAGATAGAAGACACGAATAACTTGTCTTGTTGATGAGTTGCTTGCCGGCTGAGCCGGTACCGGATCGCATGAAAGTCTGCAGCCGCATGGAAAGCTGCGGGCGAAGGTCAACAGCTGTCTTGGCCACAAGAACTTCGATGGGCGACGCCTGCTGCCAATCCTGCATTGACATCAAGCGCAAGACCTGGATATCGAAACGGATGGTGGTTGAGAAACACTTGCCGCTGCTGCCGTCAATATCCTGCTTTGGCGGCTTCCAATCCGCAGCCAAGCGATAGAGCTCCAGTCGCGGCACCGGGCACCTAGGAGCCTATGAGGACTGACTAGACTAGACTGAATAGACTAGACTGAGTAGACTGTAAATTTGAGTATGACTTTGGATGTCGCTGGTGCTCTGGGGAAATCATCCGGGAAATCTGACATCCGAATCATTGCTATAAAATCGTAATCATAGTCTATAGTTCTCTAGGAAACTTTGAACAATAAAGACCCGCATTTTTTGGAACCTATTTAATATTTTCGGGATAAGGCACGCATTGATCAACTGCCTGAAACGCTCCGCGTTCTTCATTCTCATGATTCGATCATACCACAAGGCCACCAACTGGGTTTGCAAATTCGCGGCAAGTGAGGCTGGCATGTCTGGTGCATCACGATGCTCGTTCCGTTGGGCAGCTGAAAACACACTACCAACCGTCAGGCCAGTGTCCATCTTGCAGGACGCAACGGTGAAGAACCGCTCTGTACCCTGAACCTGAGTAGCCTCCTGCAAACAACAAATAACAATGAAGCCACGAGAACTCTCTCACACTCCGCACTCCTGACGCCTAATTCCTAACTCCCGCTTCCTACCCCATCACCTAGAGCCTATATAATAGCCTATGCCTATAGCCTATAGCCTATAAGTTAAGCCGCTAAGCCTATAACTCTATAACTCTATAACGTCTATGTATGACTCTATGACTATAACTATAACTAACAAACTATAACTATAACCTATATAAAACTTAACACGACTATAACTTATATAACCTGACAGGAGGTCCTTGTCAAGCGACTTCAAACACTCTCCAGCCACGTGAAGAATGATGTTCGAGAGCATTGGGACCTGCATGTTTTTCAATGTTTCCATATGCACAGCCATCTCCTCGGAGGCTGCGCCTGCAACCTCAAGGGGCTTGTTGCGCACAGCCTGCAACGCCTCGAACCGGATTTCTGCGTGGTCGCACCATTCATTGAGCTGGGTGCTAAGATTGATGGCATCAGTGTCATTCGTAGCTAGCAACAATGCAGCCTGTGACGACAACGACTTCACAGCGGCGTCCAGCGCTCGCTTCCTTAGCTTGCTCCCCCAGATTGAGTTGTCCGAAAACGCCACGTCCTGCTTCTGCAAGACCTCTCGGGCCTTACGCATGAGCTCCAGTGTCTTCGTCGTCTTGTTCGGACCTGGTGCGGGGGCTGAACTGTCTGCAGGTGGAGGCCGTGTGTTTCCGTCGGCACCCAAAGCTTTGCGTTGACGCTTGGAGCCCTCCGCAGGGTTGCTGGACGTGGGTGCAAGGTTTTTCACTGGTTTGGAGCGGCCAGATCCTTTCGGGTTGATCGCGGGCGGCTGTCCCTGATCAGAACCAGGCCCATCGAACAAACCGAAACGCATTCGAAGCTCTTTGCTCTCGCTAGGAGCTGGCAAAGCCTCAATCAAACTGTCAGCCGCATCTGAATCGTCTGCTTTCAAGGCCAGCCTCTGCCGCACATTGTCGATACTACCAACCTGGTCCGCCAGGCTTTGCATACTCCCACTGGCCTGTTCGTATACCTCCTCCCAAGCCTCGAGATCACCCATGATCCCGGTATCCTCCTGTTGGCACCAAGCAATGGAGAAGTCCGATCTCCATCTCTCTCTCTCTCTCTCTCCCTCCCTCTCTGCCTGAATACATGTAATCTAAGGAATTAAGTTGAACACAACGCTGAACACATGTGTTCAGCTTTGTGTTCAACTTAAGGTGACCGAGGCCGGTCACCTTAAGTTGAACACAAGGTTGAACACAGTGATGCTATAATCTATTCCAAAGACCCCAGCCCTGGCGTTTCGTGGTTCCACTTCGCATGCCGATGTTCACTCTCTTGCGACCGTCTGAATGCACAGCTTTCAGAACCCCAGGCTTGCCGCCGTCCCAACTGATCGATTGCTCACAATGTTGCTCCACCCAATGAATCTTCGCGGTCAGGTTGAAGAAAGACTTGGGATCACCCCCGGCCTCATTGATAAAGGAATCGATGGGCAACCAGTAAGCCTCGATGTACTTGTCCGCATACCTGAATCAGCAACAATGAAAATCGCGAAAGGCAAATATGTTGGAAACAGGTGGGCAATATGTCGTGGGATTGGAGAATGTTAATATAATTACATGATCTACGTTTGTACATAAGTTAAAGTCAAAGTATATCGCTTTGTGGGTATTGTTCTGTAGTCTATAGTCTATAGTCCAAGCAAGGAACGCGGCTTGCTCCTGAAACGCCGAAATGTCGAAGCCCTCCTTTGGCAAGCGAGCACCCGGAAGTGCCGCGCAGCTACGATGTTCGTCGAACTTCTGGTCGATCTCCTTGGTTGGTGTAAACAGCAAATGTTGTCTCATATTTTCAATCTGGACAGCACGTCTCGGCATCTATCCGCCAAAGTACTGGATGGGTCTCGCGCATCTTCTTCAACTCAGTAGCCTTCATTGCTCCGAACTTCCGCCCGCGCACTTTCTGCCAGGGAGCACAACATTGGAACGCATTCTCAGTCGGACTCCTATCGATCTTTAGTATGCTCAACACCCCCACACACACACACACACACACACGCACACAAACTGAAACGGCACTCTAGGGCACACATTCCGGCCCATTCCCCTGCCTCACAGGCAAAACACTCATGACCATCCGGTTCCTTCTCGCCCGTTGCCACGTTCAGCTTCATTTTGCTGCAGCGTATCGTCACCTGTGTTTCCTTTGCATACCGATCATACTGCCCAAAAAGCTGGTCACACTGATCGCACTTGGCATAACGAGGCTTCGGATTCTCCTTCTGCAAAGCCATGCTTGGCTTCACGGCAACCGCACAGCTGCTAGGAAGTACACTGCCCAAGCTTGAGCCTGTCGCACCTGTGATTTCCTCAGATAACGGAGCATGAATCAGCATCAACCGTGGATCAGCATGCATTGTGGAAGCAAGTCCAACAGCACGGACGCCCAACCCCCATCCCACCCATCACACACCCCAGCACCCCCAACCCTCGCCCCGCCCCCTGCCACTCCCCACCACTCTCCCCGCCCCCCACCCCGACCCCCGCCCATCCACCAATTCCCACACCCCGGCCCGCCCCACCCCGCCCTCCACTTACAACAGTCTTACGAAGGTATTACGAAGGTGTTACGAAGGTGTTACGAAGGTGTTACGAAAGTGTTACGAAAGTGTTACGAAGGTGTTACGAAGGTGTTACGAAGGTGTTACGAAAGTGTTACGAAAGTGTTACGAAAGTGTTACGAAAGTCATACGAACTCTAAAGTACGTATAAGATCTGTATATAAGCCATTAATAAGCCCCTAATATAAATGCCTTATAAAGAGCTTATAGGCTCTATAGAGTTCGTGGGGGTTTCGTAAGACTTTCGTAACACTTTCGTAACACTTTCGTAAGACTTTCGTAACACTTTCGTAACACTTTCGTAAGACTTTCGTAACACCTTCGTAACACTTTCGTAATACCTTCGTAAGACGTTCGTAGGAGGCAGACTGGGCCCTACCGTCCCGGGTTTCTGTGGCCTGGTCCCTTCTTTCTGGGCTCAACCATAAATGTTGGAACGAAACTATGCTCACAAACCGGAGCCATGCATGTGTGGCATGTGTGGGCTAGGAAGCAAAACCTCAGGTCCTGCTTCGGAAAGTTTGTGTCAATGTCATCCAACCACTCCAAGAAGTAGCCAGCATCAGGCTCGACACCCAAGTAAGCGTCTTGGAACAAGGTCGTCAGCACATGGAGAATCATGTCCTCGGAACTTGTGAACGAGGGCTATAGGCTTCAGGCTATAGGCTATAGGCTATAGGCTATAAGCTATAAGTTATGGCTATAGGGTATAAGTTATAAGTTATAAGTTATAAGTTATAAGTTAGTTTGTACCTTTACGAACTGGATGACACGATTTTTCCGTGTTCACTTACTGCTTGAAATAATATGACTCGACTCGACCCATAGCCTGCCACAGACTGCAGAGAAAGTGCTGCCAGGCTTCCAGGGTCGCCTCCGTGTTGCCGGTGTGGAAGCCGTGCACAGCATCCGTAGTCTCTACGCCGACGAAGTAGATACGTGGACGGCTCAGCGGCAGGCCAAATGCCGACGACCTGGGATTCAATGCACGACTGCTCAATTGCTTGTCCGGCTATCGAACGCTGCACTCACAACCCAGCACTCACACGCAAAGTGACGCAGCTCGCCGGGTAGCTTCAAAAGCACTGTCCTCAAAGCGTAACCGGGGATGGTGCTCAAGCCCACGTCTTCTCCGTTGGCCTGCTTCCCTCGCATGAAGTAGTCCATCGGGGTCTGACCAGCGCAAATCTGTCTAGATTCTGGAGTCTAGACTTGCACACAGATGATGCCGACATGCCGACAAGGCAGGCCTAAGTTACCACTCGCTCGCATTTGTCTCCGAATCCCCCTCGCAATCATTCCCAATCTCGGGTCGCAACCGCCGCAGAACAAACGCTGCAGCTCGTGCACATGCTGAATTTCAGAAGGCTTTTGTCAAAGTACAGAACACAAGACAAGAATCAATCAAGGCTCGACCAGGAATCACGAGTTTGACTTAGATCAACTTAGATCAACTTAGATCATCCCAAACGAAAAATAATCGAAGCCTCTTCTTCAGAGATACTCATCGGGAGCACGCTAGACCGATGCTCTTGAAATCAGAAGACGGAAGACTTGATCGTTCAATCAAGTCAAGTCAAATGTCAAATTCAAATTATCAATGCCAATGCAGCAATGCAACGAAACACAGCTACGGCTACATCTTCACGGCTGAATCCACTGACGGCTCCTTTCTAACGTTTCAAGTGCTCCCTGGAAAATCAGTCTTCTATCTCGCAGGGATGGCTGCAACCCCATGGAAGAAATCTCTGCCCGGAGCCACGCAATGGACGGCTCCACAGCAGACGGTGCGATCTGACCCACACACTCCGGATGCAGTGATTTGTGAGGCTTCGTTAATGAGTGCGAGTATTCAAACTTCTCATCGCCCTTGTGGATTGGCTGCGAACAAGACATGCACGTAGAACGTCTCTTTGCCGCTGTGTAGCCAAGCAACCCCAAAGTGTCGTTGAAGCGAGATGATGATGGAAGCGGCTGCGTAGGAGGCCGAGCGGCTGGCGAAGGCCCGGAGGGCACTGCCACATCTTCAGCCTCATCCACAAACTGGCCTTGCAAGCTCTGTGCAACGGACACAACCTCAGTGACCGTATCGGGGTTCAAATGTCCTGGAGCCAATGGACTGTGATCATGCATCTCCTGGAACACAAACGCAAAACGGTCTGGCGCTGCGTCGTCGAGAACACCGGAAGCTGGCTCTTGCATGGCCTCATGTGTTTGGGGAACGTTCTGGGCGTCGGATGTTGGGGGCTTGCACTTGCCTTTGGCCGTGGCGACCTTGTTCCTTGGAGTTTTGCGCGAAGCACTCAATTGCATTCCGAATGGAAGTTGGGGGACAACTTTCACTCCCCGGGTTCTGGCAGGTAGCACCACACGGGGGCCGACCCGAAACTGCGACAGCATTGTGCCCACGAGAAGATGGTTGGGAGCCGTATTGCAACCCACAGCTTCAAACTCGTGCCAGCAAACTTCCACGCACATATTTGCTGAGAGCCCTGGTGTTTTTTTGGCTACATCACGCAGCACAGCATGCATCGTCTGTAACTGCCAAGAATCTTCCCGCACATCTGGGGTAACAACGTTTGCCACCTCCTGATGTGGAACCAGCTTGCCGAGCACATGACACAAGGGCCGCTTGCTCACACAGCCCATAAGAAACCATTGTGTCGCGGGCACAATCTGGCTAGGCTGCGATGAAGATGACGAAGGCTCAGCAACTTCAGTGACATTCGTGAGTTTCAGAAGAGCACACCCTTGAATCTTCTTCTCTTCCAGACACTGTTGAAATTGCTGCACGGCAGTCTGGACATGAGCAAAACAATCATCCGCCTTGCACAGACCTGGGTGTGACTCCTGACAAGAACAGAACATTCGCGGCATGGATTCTGGATTCTGCACGGGTTCAGCATCATACTCAAAAGCATCCTTGATTTGTTCTGCTGCTTCCTCGCAATCGATTTCCTGAACCAATTGTGGGTCCAGGGCGGCCACGTGATTGCTGATCCCAAGGCCAGACTTCCAAGCTGGGTGGGTTGCCAACTGATGAAGTGAGTGATCAAGCTGACGCTGTCCCAGTCGCTTGTGCTGCGACCTGGACCTCATCCCAAACCTACAAAAATTTATCAATAAACTAGTGATAATTTGATCATGATACATCTCTACTAAGAACAAGATCAGCGCGGGCACAAACTGAATCGGCTGGGAATGTTTGCTGGTCTGATTTCACAACTGACAAACAGCCTGTAGCTTGCAACATAAGCTGGCACACCGACGCGGCAAAACATATGCATCAAATCTCAGGTCTCACTGCAACTGAATCTGAATCAGAACCAGAAGCCATTGAAACCACTAGTGCAGCCGCAGATCAGAGAGTCTTTTCCAGGAGCTGCTGATGCCTTGGCCGCAGCAACATCTCTCAAGGAGCGTTTGGCGCAAATATCCTTGTGAACGTTCTGCTCTGCTGCTCGTTGAGCGTAAATCTCGCGATCTGCTGCACTCATGCATTGCCACTGGTCCTTTACCCTCTGCTGCACTGCCTTGTACTCAGGTGTGCCAATACGCACTCTCTGGCCTTTGAAACACTCCTGCTGGAAAACGTTCATTGCAGAAATTGCCCTGTGCCTCTTCACAGCCTTACACGCATTGACCATTCCACAGGCTTGCCTTGGCTGCCGACCCCTCCCACAGTACTTTATACAACGGCCGCCAGCAGTCTGTACGTGAACAACTGAACAACTAACACAGCTGACAAAGTATAGCCCAGAAACTTCACAGACAACTTGTGCGGCAGGACAGGCGTCTTTCGCCGGACTCGACACAGTGTACGCCCGGGTGTTGTGCGCGAAACAACCCTGCTTGCAAGCAACTGGCCCGCCCGCTTTTTGGAACCACCCAATGTCTCCTCGTGCACATGTTTCTTGATCCTGGCATGCTCCAGTCGTGTCGACATAACGTACGTGTGTAGCTGCAACGACTTCTCGGCCCTCCCAGATCTGTGCGCGACTGACAACTCCTGCGTATTTGCGTGAAGCTTTTCAACATTCACGCTGGATGCGGGAATGTGCAATAATGCGTCCCGCATCATCTCCACCAATGCCTGCGTTTTGCCAGCGCTCCTCCCGTTGTCTGCGACATGTAAAGCCACCTGGTGGACAAGGCAAGCCCAGTAGTAAGTAATTATAGCAGCTAGCAGTAGTCGTCGTAGCAGTAATACTGGTGGCAGTAGTAGACTACTAGATTTGGAATACCAATTATTTGGTTAGTTATAAGTTATAGTTATAGTTAGTTAGTTATAGTTAAAGTCAAAGTCAAGTTTAGTTAGTTAGTCGGTTGGCATCAAACACTCCATCAGTAGTGAAACGGAGTCCTGCACGAAAGGGTCTCCGATACAACACATCGGGCGCTTGGAGATGTCGCTGAGCCACTTCTGAGCCGTCTCCACGTCCATGAGCCCGATACCGAGAAGCTGTGTTTTGACCTTTTCTGTGGGCAGGCACAGGCGCCTCCAAGCGTCGCAAAGAGCCGGGAAGACATGTGGAAGTATGTCGGCAAAAGTCACCTGGCAAGTTGCCAAGAGCTCGGTGTTAGGGCAGGCAATCAACAGCGTGGTGTAATCACGGATGGTCTCTGCTGGCTTCTGTCCGTTAAACAACGACCAGTTCATCTCTCTCAGCTCCTGCTCTGTAATCTTGCATGTGCTAGAGGCCAGTTCCAAGGAGCGAGATTTCAAGTACAGCCGCAAACGACATGACTCAACCTGAGATATAAAGTCCATGAGCTCGGCCAAGGGAAATGATACGAACAAGGATTTGCCCAGGTCAGCCTTGGCTAGTCAACTACCAGAATACACCAAACCTGCACACTACCAGTGCACTACACAACGCTCCACTCATCTCACCACTCGACAGACTCGGCATATCATATTATTTAAACAGCAGGCAGGCAACTTTGATTGAGTCCGAAGTGATGAAGGCAACCGTCTTGCCCATCCGTACCTCCTGCTTCACTGCGTGGGACAGGTCTGGAGAATCCTCGTCCAGGTTGGCCGTAAGCTGGTCCAAGGTTTTGCCGTAACACCCTGTGATCAGAAAAGCCAAGAAATTATATGAATGAAGATCCCGCGCGTAACGTAATTCTGAACCGGTCCCCAGCCCTTCCAGCGGTAGAGAAGGGGAACCTGTGGAAAAGATTGGAAAAGCAACCTCAGTGCCTCCCTTGTCCGGTCTATGCAGGCAAGACGATTTGGACAACACCCGCAACACCAATGTACCCATTTTCCATTCTCACGTTCTGCGAAATCATCATCCCAGGATGAGTTAAACATCGTCAGAATCAGCTCCTTCTCGTCGGACTTTAGATCCAACCCTAGCATGTCGAGCAACGAGCGGCGGTTGTCTTGCAAAGCAGCGACTGAAGCAGGCAATTCTGCGACGATGCGTCTATCCACTTTCTGAGCGATCTTCTCAAGACCTTCCTGAAATAAGCTCTGGAACTTAGTCGCCCGCATAGCTCGTGTCATACGAACCATAGCTGAGCACAGGTTCGGTATACTGAGCAGGCCAGGCTTTAAAGCTAAAGCAGCTTGATGGTGCAAGCAGTTCAGCTCTGTTTGCAGCGTAGTTGCCGCGTTCTTATCACCAGCCAAGCGCTTCTCGCGCCAGCTGATGTGTTCAGCGGCCTGAACAACATGATTCGCGGGAAGAGCATCTCCACCTCAGTCGCATGTCCCGGACAGCACTGCAGTGAAAATGCACGGCGCTGCTACTGCATATCGACTGAGGATCCTACAATGGACAATGAGCTTCAAAGGAACAGCGGCGAACAGATCCCATAAGCCCCGGCCCCCATACGGCTCGGCACAACCGACCGAAGCGAAAAGGCTCCATCGCCGAAGACGATCGAGTATGGTGAAGGAGTTTGCCCGAGGCAACAGTTGACATGGAGCATGCACTTGAGCAATGGTACCCACACCGTCTGGCTCCCCATCGGTTCTGATGATCAAGTGTTGCAACAATCCAAGCAACGATTGCACACGCTTCATGCCCTTCACCGGCGTGGTCTGAGAGCAGACACCTTCGGCAAACTGTCGCTTCTGAGAGGCATTGTTCACCCAAACGTTCGTATCATCCGATACCACAGTCACCTCAGCTGCTGAGGTTATCAACTCGCTTCACAACTTCATGTCGCAACAGGGAAGTCTGCGAAGCAAAGCAGCAATCAGAATCTGTAATGAAGATGCACTGCGAGAAACTATGGCATGCTTCATGGAATGCGAACTTTTAAGCAATCTCTCTAGAGCTGTACCCGTCGCCGCAATGTGACTGTAAATGCCAATGTTCTGTTGCCTGGACATGGAGCGCTGCGCATCACTTGCAAAATCAAAACCGCCCACGTCACCGCCGGGGTCACTGTAAAGAACAAGGTTCTGCGAGATGTGCACCCCGCCCTTCACAGCAGCCTTTGCAAAGTCACCGAACACATTCCTGACCAAATTCATCTTGTCATCACTACGGGCATAGTTCAGCACCGACAGCTGTTTCACCTGCCGTTTATGCAAACCCAACTGCACAAACGCACTGTGAGCTGAGCCAGACGATCTGGCACGAAGAATCGGCTCATCTTGATTTTCCTTGGCTGAGAAATCACCACCGGATAAGCTTTGGATTCCATACGAGCCATACATGCCTTCCTTCAGACCCCCCCCGCATATCTCTACCAAAGCCACGACACTGCATTCTGATGCTGCTGCTGCCTAGATATGTCGGCAGAGCGAATGGCATTGCATGACTTCCGCATGAAGACCGAAGCAAACAAGGCCATGGCTGCAGACGTGCGAACCTTTCGAAGCTATTGCTTGAGATATTGCCGAAATGTCAAGATTACATACTGCACGCATGCATACATCAAACTGGTCACTCATCCATGCTGCGTGGCACTATTCTCTTGCTCTGGATGCTGCTCACAACTTGTCTCACGGCTCGCTCTAGGAACGGAGCAGCTGTAGAGCATTGCAATCGAAAGCACCACTATCACTGACATCTCAAGCACGTGACCCACACAACCTGCCTTGAAGGTGGCATCCTCCGGGCAGTTCGTAGCTTGGCGAAGGCATCCGGCAACATTCTCCAAAATGAAGAACCTGCCACGGCTTCCATCGACAAGATGTTTAAGCTCGGGGACAGCTGCCTCGGACGTCTCCGGCGAATATGCCTCGAACATTCGAGGAATGGGACCACATTCGCAGCCTCAGCTATCAAAGGCTTTCTCACGAGAATCTATCAATCTGGATATGATGATTCAATGAGTCATGACAACCACCCTGCAAGCTGCCTATCTCACAAAATGCGAGCTCAGATACGTGAGGCCCGGCTTCATCAAACATAATCTCCACAGAGCTGTGCGTAAAGCGCAGATTGGAGTCCTGTCTCCGGACGAATGAGCCCTTCAGCTATTCTGACCCCTCAGCCCAAACAAGTTCTGTTCGGTCCTGCGAAAACAACTTGCAAGTAAATCCGCATACGTAGAGGTCCTCCTTCACGAAATCCTTTAGGTTTCAGTCTGAGCTTACGACCAAGATCGAGCACTGCAGGCTGGCTCTCATCCCAATGCAGAGCAGTGGCAGTATGAACGACGGGTGGGAGTGGAGATTTTCCAGTCTCACCCAGCCTATATCAGCCACGGCGTGCGAGCTTTTATACACTTGCCAAGTTGCCAAGCCTGGCTCCACGCATATCATAGTAAATGATATCCGGCGAAGTATTCTGGGCCAGCCATTTCCGCGTAGCAACCTAAGCTGTGCGAATATAATATAATGCGGGCTAGTCGACCGAGCACTGACACATCATAAAGGATATTCGAACTGATACTGATAATTGACTCGGAGTTTCATTCTTCTCAGACGCAGCAATTTCACCGAAATTTGCCTCTCCCACAATGTCCTTCAGAGCCAGCGTCGGGGCTCCAGACCCCGAGCACGCTGTGCACAGAACCTGAGGGAATCATATGATATGATCTGTGAGATGATACATCGGGGTTGTGCTTCGCATGTGTAATGGCTGGAATTCAGCAAGGTGCCAAGGGATCTTGAATCTGCTGCTTGAATAGGTCTGGCGAGGTCCCTACCGCACCGGCACCAAGCTGCAGCCACTCAAACGCTCGCGGCGGCACCAACAACGAGCTGAAGGAACGAGACCTATCGCTGCAGACTTGGCAATGCAGGACTACAATCCCACTGGTTTATGCACGCAGCGTTTGCTTATCCAGCCTGCTTCTCTCGCTGCTGGTGGCATCGATATCCGCACGATCTTGTCGTGTCACAGGGCAATAGAGGCCGCTGAAAGCCGCCATCGCTACCACCCTAAGCCTACCCAGCACAAAAACCAGGTCTCGAAAGGAAGCCTTCAGCAGCGTTCACCACAGATGCATTCAGCGTTTGTTCAGAGGCCAAATCAACGCATGAATCCCGCCACACCTTTTGCCACCCTCTTAAACCCAGATTTCGACTAGGTTGGCCCAGAAATCAAGAATCTAGTGTTAACATTACCACGCCCACTTCAAGTTAGATTAGATTATGCAGGAATAGGTTCAGGCGGGAGACGGGAGCTTCCGCGTTCGGTGCTGCCTGTAGCTCGGAGCAAGGCTACCTCATCTAAGGCGACCCAGACCGACCCAACCTAATCTCGGACTGGACGGTCAGATTAGATTCGTCTGGAGCAGGTCGAATTCCAAGGCCAAGAGAAAACCCAGTACCTGAAATTCGCTAAACCCGTGCCCGTGGGGATTTCATGGGGCCTGTTTAGCTGGCGTGCATTGTTGTTAACATGGTCATACCTGGTCTCATACAACGAGATTTCTTCCAGTCCTAGGCTCCCCGAAACTGCTTCCTCCCTGTTTGTTGTCCCGCAAGCCGAGCCTAGCCTCACCAAGTAGCCTGCCAAAGCCAAGCCCTGTCTAAGCGCCTGCGTCCGGCCCTGCAATTGATTAGAATGTGCACCAGAGACAAGATCCTAGCTAGCGCCGCTCAACAGCAAAGTATGACAAACCGTTGATGATATAAATCCTGCATTACCTTAAGGACCCTCAACAAACGTCTATTCCTTATTATGGGTAATGCAGGATTTATACCGCCAAAACCGTACTTCTGTGATCTGCATGACCGTCTCGGAGGCTTCCACACCCCAGACCATGGATCGCTTGCAGGCCAGTCAACCCCAAGGCTCCGAAGCCCCTGGAAAGCTTCACCAAAAACCCCACTTCCGAAGCCCTGCGAAGGCCCTTTAGGGTTTTAGAAGGTTTTAGGGTTTAGGCCTTTTAGGGTCTAGGGTTTTCGGGAGATTGCTAACCTGCTTTTTTTTACGACGCAGGGTGCCGATAGGATTCAGGGGTTACCGGGAAGCCACAAATACGAATGATTCCAAGACTCTCTAAACCCTGAACCCTAAAGCCTAAACCAGATACTTCGGGGAGAGAGCCCAAACCTACCCTGAGGAAACCAAACTTGAGCAAAGCTACGCAACCGCAACCCAGCTTTTAACAGAGCAGGAAGCCCAACCTGGCTATCTCCAGGCCAAAATAAGCCGGGGGCACCTCTTCGGCCTGCCTGGCAACCCGACCTACCCCAACCAACATGCCCCAACCTAAGCTATGCTGATCCACCCGAAGTACCCGCATCAACCCCGACCTAACCTAATGCAAGTCGCACCAGAAAAAGAAATCTACTCTAACCGGACCCCCCCCTCGCCTAGCCTGGCCCAACTGCTTTGGTTGAAGTTGTGGCTGAGGTTGGGCTGGGGACCATTTGCCAACGTAAACTGTCCCGATCCAAGCTCAAAAACTCAACATACCCTAGCCTGACCTAACCCCATCCCACCTGACCTAGTAAGCTAAGCCCTCTTGGCCTTGTCCTCTTTGCTCGGAACCCTTTTCTGCTTCTTCTCCTGGCGCTGTAGTGGATTTCATGGGGCCTGTTTAGCTGGCGTGCATTGTTGTTAACATGATCATACCTGGTCTCATACAACGAGATTTCTTCCAGTCCTAGGCTCCCCAAAACCGCAACCCCTGCTTCCTCCCTGTTTGTTGTCCCGCAAACCAAGCCTAACCTCACCAAGTAGCCTGCCAAAGCCAAGCCCTGTCTAAGCGCCTGCGTCCGGCCCTGCAAATGATTAGAATGTGCACCAGAGACAAGATCCTAGCTAGCGCCGCTCAACCGGCCTCAGGGACGCGGAGCGCAGCTTAACCGAACCTACCCCAACCGACATACCCCAACCTAACCTAT